GATGTTTCTGACTATTCCTTTCTCTCCCCCTCCAGTGTCTACTCTATATTATAATGCAAGGAAAACCAAGATTCCAAAAACAGTCAAGCTTCTTAACACGATTCCCCGCCCATTCCAACCATGGGTCAATCGCTGTATCTCAGAGCCCTGATGCCACTTTCTTTCAATTGTGGCTTTTGGGAAACTCAAAGCAAAACGTGTTTAAAGTACCTGGCTACTAATCAAAAGGTCAGCAGTTCAAACCTACCAAACAGTCCCTGGAAAAAAGAAGTGGCAGTATGCTCCTGTAAAGATTACAACCTTGGTTGATAGTAAATATTCCCATATATATATTTCTATATGCTGTAAATATATCCAAGTATATAGTAGAGCATATGGAAACACAGTCATGAAAACCTGTTAGATATAACCAAACATCTCCCGGTACTGAGATACTGGGCTTGAAGGCTAGGGACCACAGTCTTCGGAGGACATCTACGTCAATTGGCATAACATAATCCATAAAGACAATGTTCTACATTCTACTTTAGTGTGTAGTGCCTGGGTCTAAAGAAAACCAAAGACTCAAGGAAATAATTAGTTCAAAGGTCTAATGGACCACATGAACCACAGCTTCCACTAGCATGAGGCCAAAAGAACTAGATGGTGCCTGGCTACCACAACCGAGAGCTCTGACCAAGATCACAATAGAAGGTACTAGATAGAATGGAGAAAACAGTAATAAAATTCAAATTCATAAAAAAAAAAAAAAGACGAGATGTACTGGTGGAACCCCTGAGATATGGCCCCTAGACATCCTTCAATCCTGGAACTGAACCCATTCCCAGAGATCACTTTTCAGCCAAACAATAGACAGGTCAATAAAGAAGAAAAAGCTCATCCAGTACTGTTTCTATCACCAAGGCCATATTTTCCAACTACTGATCCTTCCTCTTTGTTTCCAACTTTCACATTCCAATCACCAGTAATTATCAATGCATCTTGATTGCATGCTTGAGCAATTTCAGACTCAAGAACCTGGTAAAATTCTTCAATTTTAGAAATGTTTCATTTGACAATGAATACGACACCATTCCTCTTCAATTGGTCATTCACAACATAGTAAACCACATGTCTGTCTGAATCAAAATGGCCAATATAGTTCTTTTTTTCCTCAGTCATGCCTAGGATATTGATCTGTATGTGTTCCACTTAATTTTTGACAACTTCCAATTTTCCTAGATTCAT